CCCCCCCCAAGTTCTTCGTGTGGTCAAGGACCGCGTCAGCCGAGACGGCGACAAGGAGAAAGGAGTTGTTATTTGGGCCGAGCGACCGGCAGGGCTAGGACAAGGTGGTGGAGCGGAGGAGGAGACGGTGAAGTACTACTGGGGGGAGGCAGGGGGGCGACAGCCGAATGGGGCAGACGAATGTAAAAGGCTTGGAATAAATCAGGCTTATTCTGTCGTCGTTAATGTTCGCATTGGGCGCATTACGGGGAGCAGGGAAGGGGGCGCTGCGCATACTGGGCGCACTGCAGCCCGCCGCGCCCGCTACAAGAAGACCCCTCGGCGCCTGCTCGCATCGACATGAGCTTAAAGAGAGAGCGAGGGAGGGGAAGAGATGTATTTGATATTTATTGGTCGTAAGTACAAAAGACTAAAAAGTCTTCATTAGTAAGCAGGTAAGATTCGGGTTCAGGCCTTTTAAATACGCATTTTTACAGTTCGTGTCTCGTGTTTTGTGAGGTGAAATGAAATGCATAACAATCCGACATGATCTTTTAAAATAAATCAGTTGATAGAGAGAGGGGGATACAGCAGAGCGAGAGAGAGAGAGAGGGAGAGAGAGCTGTGGGGCCGAGGTGGATAGCTGGATCCGGATCTCGCCTTCTTGTCCTATCCCAGCCACGGGCGTTGAGCATCGCGGGAGTATGTTTGGGCGAGTGTGGCTCGAGGCTGGCGGGGTTCTTGGGTCCGGGCCAGTAGCCAGCCATAGGCTCCGCGCGCAGCCGGCATTGCCCCGGGTCCTCGCCAAGAATGCCACGAGGGCGTTGGTTGGCGGCGCGGCGCGCTGGCTGGCTGGCCGGCCATTGGATGAAATACGCTCAAAGTTGTGTGGCGTGCGGCATTAGACGGTTATTGCCGCAAGGACTTGCGCGGATATTAATGCCATGAATTGTTTCCAGCCAAAACTTGGCGGGTGGGTGAGATAGAATGCCGACCGGGCCAGGCCGGCCGACTGGAGGCTCCAGGCGGTCAGCCAATCGGCTCGCTGGCTGCGGGCACAATGCTAATCGGGAAGGGAGGAGGCCGTCGTGTGAGAAATTTGCGGTCGTGGTGGGCACAGTCACTGTGAGGAGGAGGG